GGATTTAAATAGGAACTTTAAATAGAACTGGAAATAATCTTCTAAATAGGTCTTCCTTTTTAAGCTCCCCAAAATACCTCCTTATTCCGAGCTTCCAGAGTAGAGCGATTCTTGAGGACGGTAGAAACTTTCTGAGAATCGTTCCTAGTCCGACTTCTCTAGACAAAAATGCGGAATTCTTGAAATAGCTGCCCCGCTGATCGCTGAATTCCCAAAGATCTCAGCTCCTGATATCACTTTTAGCATACAATGCTCTTATTAAATTATTCTCTTGAATAGTACTATTTTATAGATCGTATTATACAAATTTCACGAGTTTACACCTGACGAGTGGATGTTATAAAATAGAAGTTCAAAGCAATCCAAAAGTTTAAATTATTCTTCAATCCATTAAAATGTTTAAATATTCATATTATCTAATGTTTCTTAGAATTATTTCTGTAAAATCTGACTTTAAATGAGGATCTGCCACATGTTTAACAATTATCGAATCGCGAAATAGAATCTTTTAAAACCTTCTGTCGCGTTCATTCGTCACCATATGAGCCGTTTATTTTGAAAGTGGCATAAGTCACTTTTTCAAAAAAATCGAGTTAATGGTAACACTAATTACAATTGAACGGTATCTTTTCATTCTAAAAAAATTTGCAATCAATAAGTTGAGAACTATTGAGATTTGTTCGAGAGAAGTTTTGCTAATTAACGGTATAATAAACACGTTTATTTTGAAAGTGGCGTAAGTCGCTGTACTCGGGAAATTAATTGCGGGGCTTAGTGTAAAATAAATAGAAACGTGTGATAAGTGTATGTGAAGTATTGTTTTGAATTATTTTCAGTATTTTTAAAAAAGTTGTGATCACACTGGACTTATTTTTATAAGTGCGAAAGAATAGTGATGAAAAAAGAGATGAATTTCTAACTTTGGATTTGTCACCAAAAAGAGGAAGACCTAGGCGTTATTCACAAAAATGTAAATGGATCCGTTATACGCTGGATCTCGTCCTGTTTCTTCAGCAAAATACAAAGACATGATGGACTTGCTTAATTATATACCCCCAATATACCACAGTTATTT